CCCGATATGCGAATTCACGCTGGGAGCGGCTTAATTTTTTCGATCTGGTTAAAGCATTAGAGGATTTGAGGCTCTGAGGTGGCTAAAGCCGGGGCTGATGCCAAAGGGTTCGGTCCCGTGCCCGCAGCTCGAGCGTCGGGAATTTTCAGGCTCCGAAAATTCCCAGCTGAGGAATTTCGGGGTGAATTCGGCGAGAAAAAGGAAGGTTTATTTTTAGGAAGCGAGCATCCTCCAGCTGCGGATCCATCCAGCTGGAGAGGGGAGGATGGAGGTGCCACCTCCTCTTGCCAGGGTTTGGGGGTGACGGAGCAAAGGTGCAGCTGCAGTGTTAACGTTGGCATCATTAGGGTTCAGAGTTAACGCCGCCCGGTAAGAGCTCAGGGAGCCCAGGCTGCGGTGGGTGCCGGGGGGCTATTTTCATGCCCAGGGGTGTGATGGGATCCCCCCAACAGACGCTGGAGCATCTTTTCTCCCTCCAGAGCCTGGATTTTTCCAGGGACCCCCCACGTCCTTTGACCCATCACCCTGTTTTTGCCCCTCAAAAATGATGCTGATGGAGGAGTCGGGCTGAAAAAAACTGGGTTTTCCCTGCTTTTGGGGCAGCACAGAGGTCTAGGAGCTGTGGTGTCATCTAATGATGCCATCTGCATTGTTAATGAACTTCTGAAATTATTATTATTAATGATAATAATAATTTATTTATTATTATCCTCATCTTTATTTTCATTCTTATAACTATTCTCATTATTCTTACAAAAATACAGTTGTATTCATAATGATTATAGAAAGTATATTTCAAATTACCTATTTTATATATATAATATATATTAAATATATAATTTTAGATATCTAATATAATTATTAGGTATTATATATTTTCTTCTAGATTATCTAAATTTAATACAATTCTACTTATAGTGACAGAGGAGCCGAACTGAACAGAACCTGGATTTTCCCTGCAGTTGGGGTTGCACCCGGGTTTAGGAGCTGGGACGTCACTCAGTGATGCTATTTGTATCGTTAATGAGCTATATTATTAGTAGTAGTATCATTATTAGCCATCATTATTATCACTATTATGATCACTTTAATCATTATTGTGATCACTGTTATCCCTACCCCATCCCCACTATTTATCACTATTCTTATAAAAATATAGGTATAATTATCATTATTATGAAAATTATTATCGCTTTTATTATAGATATTACAAGATAATTATTAGATATATTACATTTTCTTATATACTACCTAAATCTAACACGATTATATTTACAAAGACATATAATTCTGATATAATCCCCATTCTTGTTCGACACTGCATATTTTATTCTATAGCATAGCTCAATATAATTAGTAATACTAATAATATTCATTATTTGGTGGGCTCCCTGCTGCCACCCCCATCACCCCCCCACGTTTCCCCCCCCCCTCGCCAGGACTTAAGGGTTTATGTTCTTAGCCCGGGTGAGCTATTTTTAAGCATCTTCCTCAGACTGGGGCTGATTTCTCCTGCTTTTTCACCAGAGAAGGGAAATGTGATTTTTTTTTTTTTAATTTTTTTTTTTTTTTAATTATTATTCTTGAATTCCTGGGGAGACTTATCGGCTGGAGCAGAGTTTCCTGCTCCAGGAGCTGGAAGGCTCCGTCCGGAAACCGCGCCGATGCCTTGCCGGGAGGGGGGATGAACGGATACAGGAGGAAGCTAAAAATACCCCCCCTCAGCGCTTTGTTTGCCTCTTCCCACTCTGGAAAAAAAAATCCCATGGAAACCTCTGAATCCATAGGGAAGAGGGCAAGGCCGTTGGAGGCTCCTAAACCCTTCAAAAGCAGGGATTTTCCCCCAAATCCTAGGTGGTGTAGTGAGGTAGCACCATCCTTCCCCCCCTCCCCCCCCCACCCAGTGCATCCCAATCCGGAGCATCCCCGGGGCACCGGTGGGAGTGGGGCCAGCTGGGGACACGGATCGATGGGTGGGATGTGGGGATGGAGCTGCAGGGATGTGGGTCCTCGCTGGCGTCCCCCCGGGAGAAAAAAAACCAACCCGCCACGCACCCGGCTTCGCCTGAGCCGATTAATTTTCCGGCTTTGCCTTACGGGCAAAGCTGGGGAATAATCTTCCCCGGAGCTGAGCATCCTTCTGCGCTCCGTGGTACCCGCTCCCACCCCGGTGACTCCTCCCGGTGGGGTCTGGGGGATTCTGGGGACACGGGGTTGGGGTGTTCGGGACGGGGTGTCGGGATGAGATGGGATGGGATGGCCAGATTTGGGGTGGGATGAGGTCAGGTGTTTGGGATGGGATGAGATGGGATATTTGGGACAGGATACTTGGGATGAGGTGAGATGGGATGTTTGGGATGGGATGAGATGGGATATTTGGGACAGGATACTTGGGATGAAGTGAGGTGAGATGGGATGTTTGGGATGGGGTGAGATGGGGTGTTTGGGATGGGGTGAGATGGGATATTTGGGACAGGATACGTGAGATGGGGTGTTTGGGATGGGATGAGATGGGATATTTGGGATGAGGTGAGATGGGATTAGGTGTTTGGGATGAGATGAGATGGGTTATTTGGGATGAGGTGAGATGGGATTGAGTGTTTAGGATGAGATGAGATGAGATGAGATGGGGTGTCAGGAGAGGCCACCCATGAATAATCCCAGTTTAGCACCAGCAGCAAAAAGGGGGGATGCTGGGGAGAGCTTGTGGGGTGCATATGGGTGCTCCCCCACACAAAGCCCATGGGGTGGAAGATGGGGCACAGGATCATGGTGGGGTTGGAGGTTCTCCAATACTGCCAGGCAGCTGGAGCAACGTAGGGAGAAGCAGCAGCTCCTTGGCCAGGGAGGATTTTCAGCCAGAGATTTTCCCACCTCGGGAGGAGGAAAGGGGGATGGGAGGGAAGGGCATTGTCCTGCATCCTCTGGAGCAGCCGGAAAGCCCTTCCCACGGTGGGGAAGGAGACCCGTCCTCCTGCCCCAGCCTCCCAGCGATAACCCGGGAGTGTTGGGTTTCCCCTCGGGAATGGGGAGGTTTTCCAACAATAGGTGGGGTTTTGTGGAGAAACGGCATCTGGGGTTGAGTCACGTCCTATTTATTTTCCCTCTCCGCCCGCGGGCAGGTGTCTCCTCGGCCATGCTCGAGGTGAGTGTGGGGACAAGCTCGGTCTTCTCCGTGGAGGGGCAGCAAGCGGTGCTGCCTGCCTGGTACCCCAGCCGATCCCAGAAGCAGCCCTACGTCACCTGGATGCTGGATAAGGAAGATGCTAAGCCCTTCCAGGTCAGCGGTGGGGTGGGGATGTGGGGGGTGAGGGGGGAGGACAAGCTGGGAGGTGGAGAGGTGCTTGTGGTGTCCACGATGGCGCCCATTGTGGGGGGCCAAGTTTCTGGTGTCCATGATGAGGTGAAGCTCATGGTGCTCACCATGGGGAGGTGCCCACCATGGGATGGTGCCCAGCATTATGGTGTCCATGATGAGGTGGTGCCCATGATGGGAAGATGCTCGCAGCGTAGAGATGCTCATGGTGTATGTGATGGGGAGCTGGCCATGATGGGAAGGTGCCCCTGACAGAGTTATTTGTGGTGCCCACAGTGGGGACATGCCCACAACACAGACATGCCCATGGTTCTTGCAATAGGGAGGTGCTTGTGGTGCCCATGATGGGGAGATGACCACAACGAGGGGAAGCTCATGGTGATGGGCAAATTCCCACAATGGTAGCATGGCCATGGTGCCCATGATGGGGAGATGCCTATGATGGGGATGTGCCTATGGTGCCCATGATGGGGAGATGCCCAGCATGGGGGACATGCCCATGATGCCTGCAATGAGGAGGTGCTTGTGGTCCCAGTGGTGGAGTAGATGCCCACGATGAGGTCATGCCTGGGGTGCCCGCAATGGGGTAGTGTCCATGATGGGGACATGCCTACAGTGAGGAGATGCCTATGAAGGGGAAGGTGCCCACCATGGGGACATGTCCATGGTGCCTGCAATAGGGAGCCATTTGTGGTGTCCACAAGGGAGAGATACCCAAGATGGCGAGATGCCTGTGGTAGGGAGGTGCTTATGGTGTCTATGACAGGGAGATGCCCACAGTGGGAGGATGATCGTGGTGCCCACGATGGGGAGGTGGTCATTGTGCCCGCAATGGGGAGGTGCCCGCAATGGGGGCGTGCCCACAGTTCCTGCGATAGGGAGGTGCTTGTGGTGCACATGATGGGGAGGTGCCCACAACAAGAGGAAGCTCATGGTAATGGGTAGATGCCCACAATGGGGGGCGTGCTCATGGTGCCCGCAATAGGAAGGTGCCCGCGACGGGCAGATGCCCATGAGGAGGAGATGCCCATGATGGAAAGACGCTCATGGTACCCATGATATGGAGATGCTCGTGATGGGTAGTTGCTCATGGTGCCCCTGCCAGGGAGATACTTATGGTGCCCACAGTGGGGAGATGCCCACAACGCAGACATGCCCATGGTTCTTGTAATAGGGAGGTGCTTGTGGTGCCCATGATGGGGAGATGCCCACGATGTGGATGTGCCTATGGGGCCTGTGATGGGGAGGTGCCTATGATGCCCACGGTAGGGAGATGTCCACAGTAGGGAGATGCCCACAGTTCCCATGCTGTGGATGCTCAGGGCAGGTGAGGATGGAGGGGTCCTCATGCTACTCCACAAAATTTGGGATTTGGGGGGATTTTCTCCTCTGCAACATCATCTGGAAGCGACCGAGCGGGCATTTTCCCCTGGGCAGATCTTGGCCTACCTGGATGGGAAGGTGAAGGTGGAGGAGTCGGAGCTAAAGCCCCGTGTGGGGTTCCTGTACCCTGTCCTCACCCACAACATCTCGGTGTTCATCAACGCCACCCGGGAGCGCGACTCAGGCCAGTACCTGTGCACTGTCAACGTGGTGGATGATGTCACCAGCACAGGCAAGAACATTGGCGTCATCAACCTCACTGTACTGGGTAAGGCTCCGCCGGTCACCCCAGTTCCCTTGGATGTCCCCCATGATGTCCATCGGGACTAACGTTGGTGCCCGCAGTGCCACCGGCCACCCCTGCCTGCCAGCTGCACGGCAACCCCACCGTGGGGGCCAACGTCACCTTGAGCTGCTCCTCCGAGAAGGGGAAGCCCTCGCCCGTCTACCAGTGGCAGCGCACGGGCCCCACCCTGCAGGTCTTCTTCCCCCCTGCCCAGGGTAAGATGGCATCGGGGAGGGGGGACACCGGGGAGGGGGGGACACCAGGGAGAGGGGTGGAAAATCCCCAGAAGCTTCAGCTGGGGGATGCTTTGGGCTTGGTCCCCTTAACCCTGCCCGTTCCTGGAATATCTCCTTAACCCTGCCCGCTCCTGCCCAAGGAGGCAGAGGGTGGACAGGGTGGGTGGGCAGGGGGTGGCTGCGGGGCAGCACCCGAATTTCTCACCCCCAGACCAGACCAGGGGCACCCTCAAGTTGACCAACCTCTCCCTGGAGATGTCGGGTCTCTACGTCTGCGTGGTGGAAAACCGCGCGGGTTCGGCTGAGTGCAGCATCGTCCTGGAGGTGCACTCAAGTGAGTACGTGTCGGGGAGGTGGGGGGAGGACACACACAGTCCCCACGAGGTCCCCGTGGGGTCCCCGTGGGAATAAATGGGGAGGGCAAACTCCCTCCCTCGCCACCTCTCTCTGTCCTCTCCCGGCAGCTAGCACCAAAGCCATCATCGCTGGTGCCGTGCTGGGCTCCTTGGGCGCCCTCGCCATCGTGGTCTTCTTCACCCGGCGGGTCATCGGCTACCGGAGGAAGAAACGGGACAGCCAGGAGGAGGCAGCCAACGAGATCAAGTGAGGCCCCCCTCCCTTTGGAGGAGGTTCAAATTGTCTTCGCTAGGTTTCAGGGTTAACAGGAGCAGGGGGAAGGAGAGTTCCATCTCTGGCGTCACTGTTTTAGGCTGAACATTAGGAAGGAATTTTTCACTGAGAGAGTGGTCGGGTGTTGGAATAGGCTGCCCAGGGAGGGGGTTGAGTCACCATCCCTGGATGTGTTTAAGGGACGTTTAGATGGGGTACTGAGGGATATGGTGTAGGGGAGGACTTTGTAGAGTAGGGAAGATGGTTGGACTCGATGATCCCAAGGGTCTCTTCCAACCTGAATGATTCGATGATTCCATGATTTCCATCTCTGACCAGTCATCATTAGGTTTCAGGGTTAACAGGAGCAGGGGGAAGGAGAGTTCCATCTCTGGCATTGCTGGGTTTCCAAGTTCACAAGGGCTTTTTCTCCCCCTTTCCCTCATGCCCCCCTGGTTTGGGGTCCAACCTTGGGCGCAAGCCCCTCAGTCCCCCTGTTGCTCTGCGGGGGGAGGGGGGATGGAGGGCTTTCCCAGTGCCCATCTCACCAACGCTGTCCCCTCTCGGCAGGGAAGACGCCGTGGCCCCCAAAACCCCCACGTGGGCGAGGAGCCCAGCTTCGGACACCATCTCCAAAACCAGCACCTTGTCCTCCATTGCTGGCACCCGGGAGAGACCCTACGGGGCCAAACCCCCCTCAGACACCGCCTCCATCCTCACCGGCAGCTACCGGGGACCTCCCCCCCGGGCAGGGGGGCGCACCCCCCCCAAGCTCTCTCCCCCCACCGTTAACGGCACCCCCCAGCGCCGCCAGG